CGTCCACGGCAAGTACATCCACAGCTGAATGTCGAGCGACTGGAGCGCGCGTTGGCATCGACAACGAGGTGGCCGTCGGTCACGTCGTAGTTGCCGCACCGGTGGTGGTGCTGCGAACAACTCGTCGGTCGACCGATGTGGCAACTGTAGTATGCGTGCTTCCTGCCAACGCCAAGGCGCACATAGGGGCGGGACCCAAGAAGCGCCCACACCCACGAGTGCAGGTGAACGTGGCGCAGCTCGATGCACACCGGGTACTTCGGGTCCGTCGCAGGTGTCATCGATGGACCGAAATCGTGCGACTTGTGGCTGCTCAAGAGGTGACGCACACTGCGACACAGCGCTTCAATCTGGTTGGTGTAGTAGCCGACGTCCATCTCGGGGCTCTCAAGACACAGAATGATCCACTCGCCAATGTGTTCGATGCGCTGAAAGAACAGATGCACGTCACTCGCCGCCGCCGACGGGCTGCTTGCCAAGCACGCTTCGTGTAGCAGCTGCAATGCAGCGTTTGCAGACACATGGTCGCATGCCGCGTGCTCTCGATAGCGACAATCAGTTGCGGGTCGCGGTTCGCACTCTCCAACGCAGCGTAAAGGGCCTCGTAGCCATCCGCGCAGTACTTGACGTGCTCTTCCTTCATCGCGTGGGCCCACTGACTCCGCGTCGCCCAGCCGTCGCCGTGCTTTTCGCATTCATCGATGTACGCTCTTGAGAGGAGGAAGAGATTGGTGAGGCCGTGGTCGTGCAAGAGGCCAGGCACACCCTTGTCGATGCGTCCGAGGGCCGCCATGCGCACGAGTACCGAGTGCACAACGCGAACCTACAAATACGTCAATTTGGTGCTGCCTGCGGGCACGAAACAAATTTGAAACAAATACGAAACAAATACGAAAAAAACGAAAAAATGAGAGAAACTCCAGCACAAGCAATCGTACCAGAACGCGCAAGTGCATCTCAAACTCAAAGTTGGTCAGGTACACGGCGTGCAGTAGCGTCTGCGCAGTGTGGACCTTGGTGAGGCCGAGGCCGCGGAGGTCACTGGTCGCGCGCGTCATCTCTGCGTTGAGCGTGTCGAGGCTGTGCACGGTACACAAACGTACAAAGAGCTTGGCCGCCAGCGTCGCGTGGGCCCACGGCCGGCGCATGCTATGATATACACCGAAGAGCAGCAGCGAAAGGACGCTATCCGACGGAGGGCTCTCGTCCGTCGAGAAAGGCGCGTGCAAAAACGGCGGGTGCTCGCAGAGCAGGGCTAGGGTTGTAAGAAAAGGCGGCAGTGTTGGCACAAACGGATGATCGGTGCCCCGGGGTCCACGCAAGCTTTGCGTGACCGCGGCCAAAAGCAAGTGGACCAAGGACGGAGACGTCGACGATTCGCGGGCAAACTGCAATGCAATCGCTCGCACCCGCACGACCGCATGCAAAATGTCGCAGACGTCGACGCACTGGTCGACCGTCGACGTTGCGACGTGCGACGCCAGAAACCGCAACGTACTTGCTTCGGCGACGAGAAAGCAGCCGCTGGTTGACGCCCGCGTGATATGCAAGAGCATGCGCAGGACGGCGCTCCACGAGACACTAGCGACACCCTACATATCCGATCGTCATATCGACGATTCTCCATGTCTATGTACATCGTACGCGGTGGGGATGGCTGCACGCGAGGTCCCAGAGCCGAAACAGTTGTACGTAGATGCTCGGCGACGACAGAGGTGTGCCGTTGCAGCCGACGTAGATCTGCGGGCGCAGCTTGGAGCCGCTCGCCTCGACATGTGGTCCCTCGTCGTGCTCGGCCGCGCACGCGTAAAAGGTTGCGACAAGCTGCGTGAGGGCCACCGTCGTTGCAGTGAGGCCTTTGTCGAGGGCGTCGCACGCACCGTGGTCGTACGAAAACACGGCGTCAAGGCACAGGACCACCGACGTGAGCGCCGACAGTTCATGGCTGGCGCCTCCGAACGCGACGATACAAAGCTGCGTCTCAAGCAGCGCAATGTCGACATCGCAGTCCCGGTGCAGGAGGCTTAGCATATTCTGAAGGCGAAGTATCTCGGGGACGCACTTAGGCTCTTTGGCCAGCGACGCAATCGTTCGTGCAACATCCCGGTGGGTGTTGATGTCATACGACCGAACGTCGATCCAAACGTGCGCAGCGACAAGCACTGAGAGCATCGGTAGCGGTTGGCGCTCGGACGCCGCCAAATGGGCCAAGATGCGCCACACGAGCGGCGCCATAAGACTATTGTGTCGAAGAAGTGCGAGGAGGCGGTCCAGCACACCGTCGGAGGCAAGTACGGCCGCTTGCACCCAGGGGCTCGTGCTGGCGACGGCAAGCAGATGTAGCCCCGGGACTTGCAGTCGCGGGATGTGTAGACACTTTAAGAGAGCGTCGAGCGTACGGTGAGTGCCATCGATGAAAGCCGTCTCACAGCGCACACGCTCAAAGAGGCGAGCCGCGATGTCCATGGCCAGCGCTTGCCGCGTCCACGGGCCATGATGGGCGAGATGCAACAGCAATTGAAACAATTCAACGGCTCCACGGACACTTCGCTTGTGCCGGTTACAAATCGGAAGCGCGTCGAGATAGGCGGCGGCGAGGTTCAGTGCGTGGCCCACGTTGAGCATCGCCAGTGCGCCCTGGGTCTTGCGGCGACTGTCGATACCTCGGGACAAAACGTCTTCCGTGTTGGTCAAGCCGTACCAGAGATGCGGTTGGATCGCGACGATGACATCTTGCAAGTCCAAGGACGATGTCAATTGACGCAGCCCTTGCAGTGCGTAGAGGGCAGCCTTGGAACCGGGAATGGACAGACTCTGCACGAGGTGTGCCGTTGAAGGGTGATGCGCACCGACAAAATCCGGGGCCACAACCGCGAGCCGCCAAAGAAATTTCGCCCGTTCTCGCACAACCGCGCGCTCGACATGATGTGTCATGGCATCGAGATGCACGCGGAATCCGCGTGTGGCGTGCAGGCTCTCAATGTCAACCGTCGGCGCGGTCAATACAACGGCGTAGAGTCCGTACGACGCCTCTGACGGCTTCTCCACCGTCGCCAAAACAGACAGCAAATGCCGCTTTGTATCGGGAGAAAAGTCTTGGCGGTGGAGGACCCAGTAGCAGCGTAGCGCCGCCACCGCCACGACCTGCGTGGGTGCCATCAAGAATGGCGCGATGCGGCTGCGTATCGCCCGGTCGCGTGTCGGTTTGTGGGCGAGCAGGAGGTGGGATAGGATCGTCAGGCATGCCGCGAGCGATGCCGGTGCCGCGTGCAGCAACGGCAGTTGGTCGAGTGTTTGTGCGACACCACCGCCTCGAACAAGGGCCTCGTACAACCAGGTCGGAACCCCGATTCTTGGGTGCAACAAGGCAGCGAGACAATTCAAGAACAGCTCCGCGTCACGCGGGTTGGTCGACGCTGTATGCGTCACGATGTGCTGCACCAATAGCTGCCCGATCATCGGCTGACGCTTGAGTGGGATGGTCGACAAGGGCAAATACAATGCCGGTGCGACGTCTGCAAGGTACCACGAGGCGCGCAGGCAGCGTGCGACAAGGACCGAGGCCGATCGCTTGACGATGGCCAGCTCCAGACAGCACTGCAGCGTCGCAGACGCCAGGACCAACTTGTCGGTTGACGAGTTGTACCCGTGCCGATGGCAGTCGAGAATGCCAACGACGAGCTGCATGAGGTCCGTTGCCTCTTGGAGATGGTTGTGCCGTAACGCATGCAGTAGTCGGTCGCAAAGCACCGGAAGCAACCGTGGTAGATGCGGCGCTAGCATCGTGCGCGCCTCGTTCGTGTCGTCGAGAAGCTGCGACACCAATCGCACCATCGCTGTCACGTTTTCTGTGCAATGCGCAAGCGACAATGTGACTGTGGCAAGGAGGGATGGCAGCAACGATGATGTATACGCTGCGAGGGCCGATTGGCGGTGACGAAGAAGCTCGGACAGAAGTGCTGCGGCTGCATCTCGAACGCACGGTGGCGCGTTGCTCTGCACGGCAGCGGTCACGACATCGACGACACCGAGTACGAACGAGGTAATGTGCTCGGTATCTCTTGGGTTCATCATTGCGCAGCACCGAAGCACATGGAGCCACCACGACCGCTCGCTTGGGTCCGTGGTGGTAGCCACGATACGCTCCGCGGCCTCTAAAAGCTTGTCGGGGGCCGTTGAAACGTCGAGATACCGAAACACGATATCGACATCGGTCGATGCATGGCTGAGTACCCTACCATGCTCCAGTAGAGTCACCCACGTATGGTCTTTCTCGGTCGTGTCGAGGCGATGCGTCGCCGCCTGCGCCGCCAAGAGGAACGCATCCCAGTAGACAGGATGGGGTACATGGTGGCACAGAAGCAAAAGAACATGGTCAACAATAGGCTTGGGCGTCGGTGTCCCCAACCGCTTCGCGCATTCTACACCGAGCGTCACGGCAGCGAGCGTCATCGCGGAGGCGTGACGCTCCAGGAGCGGCGAGAGCAGGGTCTGGACGTCGGGCGGTGGTTGCAAGCGCGGTGCCAGCCGCAAGAGGCGGGTGTACGTGCGGCACACGCGGGTCGCAACGCGACGCGAGTCGATCGAATCGATGCTCACGCTGTGCAGCTGCCGATAGAGCGCAAACGAGAGCAAGACCGCCTTGTCTTGCGCCGCCGACGGACAGGCGCGGAATCCGAGTTGCCACAGCCGGCACACAAGATCAGGGATCTCAACGACGGTGCATGCATCGGTGACCAGACTTCGGCAGCGGTCCCAGAAGGCGACGACTCGAATCGTGTTGTCCCGATGGCCGAGGCACGCTCGGTACAAGAGCCGCAAGATGCAAAGAAGGCTCGCGTTGCTTGTGCCGTGGAGCATGGAAGGGGCGGTCGTCGACCACAGTTGCGGTGTCTCGCCAAGCAGAGTCTGCACGTGGGTTCGAACGGGTGCCGATGCTTCGAGTCGCAGAAAGGCCGTCGTGAAGGCGGCGAGATGCAGGTAGTAGCTGTCCTTGGCACCTGCGGCCGTCCAGAGTGTTCCCCATGGCAAATGGCGTTTGCGTTGTACGTGCACAATCAGCATGGCGCCAGCATGACCTGTTAGAAGCGCCGAGAGCACCTTGAGCATCTGATGCGGCGGCGCATCTTCCGAGCTCCATCGTGACACGTGCGCGCTGGTTTGCTGCACAACGCCAACCCAGGTTGTAGCCGGTACATCAGCCCCCCGCCAGAGCTCTAAAAAAGCGCCGGCGGCGACATGACAGCGCTTATCGGCCGAGGTTTCGAGCCAAGGCACGGACGGCTGCAGTAGCATCAAGAGTGCGTCCGTCGTACTCGGTGAAATAACGAGTCGCTCGTGGAATGTCTTGCGCTGCGTGCGCCAGAGAGTCCAGAGTACATAGGCCGCATCGACGCTACACGCGTGCTCGTGGAGCAGCGGTAAAATGTGCTCAACCGACGCCACGCAAGCCGGGTACGAGAGCAGCCGGAGACGCATTGTCGGTGTTTCACATAAGCGAGCGAGCACCGAGACAAACCCTTGCATGCCGACGCAGCCGCTCCGGAGCGTCGCACAGATCTTGGCGACATATACATCCTGCGTGAGAACGTCGGCGACCCGAGGCAGGTCGCAGAGCGCGGCGACACAGAGTGCACTCACGTGCTTGATCGAGTCCCACGGCATGAGTGTGATCTCCATGACAAGGCAGACGGCCGCGACCGCGATGTCGACGGTGCCCGGTGGAATCTGCAGCGATTGAAACCAAGCGCAGCTTGGTAGACACGCCAGCAGCCGGACGAGCACGCGAAGCAGCCCTTCGTGTCGCTGACTGAAAGCCGCCGACGTCGTCTCCAAAAGCATGTACGCGAGGCTGTGGCACTGCGCCATATGAAGCGAAGGCGGCGGCGCGACGAGTATGTTGCCCAGCACGCGCGCCAGTCGAGTCCGAGCGTTCTCCAAGACGCACCCGAGAATAGGAACGTCCAGCAGCGACTGCAGCTGCGCAATGCACGAGTGGGCGAGGTCAAAGGCGTCCAGCGCAAGGTGGAGGCCGCGCCGACAGCTGTAGAGTAGTACCTCTGCGAGTACGAGCAGTCGGCTGCTGTGGTTGAACGGAAACGGTGTTGACGGCGCGACGCGCAGCGCATGGAGAAGCGACGGTAGCAGCGTCGCGTGGGCACGCAGCGAATGGTCCCAGGCCGGCAATGGACAAGCCTCGAGCCGCATCGTGGCAACACAGAGGTTCCGGAGAGACTGGACGGCCGCGAGGCTGCGCTTCATGGTGCCGTCGGCAGCGTTCACGGCGAGCACATCGAGCGTGGCGGGGTCGCCAACAAGCGCTTTGTAGATGGGCACGATGAGGTGGGGCACACCATCCGGCGTCGTCGCGCAGCATAAACACGAGAGCAACTCGAGCGCGTGGAGGGACCCACTACGTATCGCGGCCCGTTGCTGGCGACTCCATTCCGAATCGACATCGACAACGTCGGAGTGGCACACGATAAGGTTGCGAAGGTCCGGGTGCCGGGCTAGCGTCAGCAGTAGTCTAAAGCGCAGCAGCATATCAACGATACAATCCAGTCGACCAAGTAAAATGTCGTACTTTTGAGCTTCGATCGCGTCGTCTTCGGCGAGGTTGAGCACATCGCCGACAAACGAATGCACTAGTCGTCGCGGTGTGAGGCTCGTGAGGTACGACGCGAGCTGAAAGTTGTTGGCGCCAAAGAGTTTGCGCAAGACGCGGTACAGCACGCGGTAGTCGAGCCGCGGCAGCAGCGGCTGCTCCTCGAAAAGTGTCATGACCGCGTCCAGCCAGCGCACGTTGAGGCTCTGCAGGATGGTGCTCCGGGCGCGAAGCGTGCAGCGACACAGATGGCTGCTCAAAGAACACTCGGCTGTCGTCTCGCAATGGTATGAAGCCAGCGCCAAAAGCACTTGACCTAATGCATTGCACAACGGGACGTCGGTCGGCGCAACGAGATCGTCGATCGGCTTTAGAAACGCCGACGCGAAGAACGTCGCACCCGCCGCGCCATGGCGGCGGCCTAGCGTCAACAGAATGCGGTGGGTGTCGTGGTGCGCCTGCGACGAGAGCACGGCGGCGGCGGCAACGACGACGGCCGACACCAAGTCGGGCGGTACCGGGCCGTGCCATTGTGCAATGTCGTCAATGAGGTGGACGAGGAGCCACGGGTTGATCCGACTCGCTTCCTTTGGCGCCGCCACGGCGTGTAGCATCGTCGCCAGCAGGATCGAGCTCGCACCGACCAGTGGCGGGGCCATGAGCGACACCTTGAAGCGCGCAAGGTACGTTCCATGGTCGGGGCGCCGGTCGGTCGCGTACATGCCCCGGATACGGTCCATGCCACCGAGAAGCTTTTGCTGGATGGGTCTTGGTAGCGCCGACTCGATCGTTGCTTTCAAGAGCACGAGGCTGACGACACCACTCATGGCGATCGCGCGCTCCGGGGCGCCGCCGACACAGCTCGAGACTCCGACCATGCACCCTCTCTCGAGGATATGCGGCATCAACGGCGACGCGTCGAGGTGCCACGACACTTTGCCGGTTGTGATGACATAGAGGCCCGGCTCGGTGATGACGGACCGTGAAGGCAGCACGCGATGAATGACCATGCACCGACTGACCAAGTGCAGCTCCGCAAATGAGAGCTGCCCAAAGACCACGAGGCGCCGAAGCATGTCTTCGATCCAGACGAAGTCGACTTCGGTCGTTTGATTGCCAAGTGTCATTTCGTCCAATCGGTGGTCGTAAATCGGGTACAAGGCGCCAAAGAAGGCGATCCGAGCCGAAATCAACGCCACCGATTCGAGCGGGCCGCTGCTCTCGGTCAGTAGACTCCGGTGCCCTGTCTCGGCCGGGCGGAGCGCCGTGCGCCGCTTCACTTCCGACGACACGGCGACGGCCATCGAGAAGCGCGTCGCGTTGGTCGTCGAATGACCGATCGATTGCAGGACAGACTTGCGAGGTGAAATCGAGGCGTGGCGGGCCGACGGGTCCGCGCCCCGGGGCCCCGACACGTCCATCAGCAGCTGCAAAAGTTTAAGGACCATGACTTGGACGGCGCCGGTCGTCTCAAAGAGGCAGTCAAAGAGCACGAGGATACCGCCGTGGTCACAGAGCCGCGCGACAGTCACGGACGGCATCGCACGCGCCAAATGCTGCGTCAAGGCGAGAAGCGACTGCTTCAGCTCCGCTGACGGCGAGACAGCGAGCAAGTCGAGCACCGTACGCAGGAGCGGGCGCGTGTTCGGAGTGCTCCGTGGGCACATGCCCTCTGCACTTGGAGACGGCGCGACCTTGGTCCATTGTAACTCGAGGGCATGCAGCACGATGAGCGCGGCCCGGGTCGCCGACGTGACGACACACAGCACCTGCGTCGCAGCGATGATGACGTCGAGCTGCGCGTCACTTGGGCGCTTGAGCGCAAGGCACTGAAAGGTGGGGTTGTGCACGATGGGGAGCTGGAGCAATGCAAATATTTGTCGCAGCAGCGTCGCGTCATCGACGAGATCGAGCGCGACGCTCGCATCGTTGCGAGCAAGGTCCCAGAGAAAGCGCAGAACCGGCACCAAGTGCGTGCGGCTGTGCGGCGTGAGGCAGTGCACGAGTGCGCTTGTCAGCGCCATGTCCAGAAACGTCTGCTTGTAGAGCGGCGCGACGCGAAAGAGCTGCGCAATCAAGTCGAGCAGCAGCGGCAATGCACGTGGTGTGACCGTGTCGATCACGTCGACGCACCGCTGCAGCATCGGCGGTGCTACTAGTAGTCCGCTTCCAGGATGCCTCGCGTGCAGCCAGTGCAATAGTTGAATGAGAAACGTCGAGATGCACTTGCCATCCGTCATCATCGTCGTCTCGCATGTCGTCCAGAGGTGCAAGACGGTGAGGAATACCTCGTGGACGAGGCGAACGCCGACGTGGCGAGACAGCGGCGCGTCAACGCCAAACGGCATGCCTTGCTCGAGGCACTGCAATCGATGCGTCAACTCTTTCTGGTCGCAAACCAGCGGCGGTCGGTCGTCCAAGCCGTCGAGCGCGTCGGTGAGACAGTCACTTGCGACGGTATGCTGTTCGAGAAAGTGCATTTCGAGGGTGAACGCCGCGTCGGTCAGCAACATCGCAGCCATACTCGCATAGACGGCCCGGTATTTCATGTTTTTGTCTATCGCGAGCTGTTGGCCAAGGAAGAAGAAGACGCGCTTTGCATCGTTGGCGACATCGTCTGGCGGCAAGAAGACACCGTGTCCAAACACAAGCTGTCGAAAGACACTTGGGACACAAAGCAGCCGCTGGTAGATGTGAACAATGTTGGCGCGGACGGCAGGGTTTGGCTCGCAGTCCACTGGCGTTGCCGTGACGGCCGAGACGAAGCGTTGCAGCGCGGATGCGTGGCGCACGGATTCGTTTCGTCCGAGCGAGGCCAGTGTCCTTGTAATGTCCACCTAGGATTTCCCCTTCATCAGTGGCTGCATGCAAAGGACAGCAACGTACGCGCAGCTGGGAGAAGAGATCGGTCGATGTCGGCGCCCTACCCATTAGCATATGTCTCGACAACGAACGACAACAGGAACAATTTGTGTCTACCCGAGAAACCGGTTCTCGCCAATGTCCAGAAAGAGCTGCACGAGAACGTCGAGGGCGGCGTCGGTCGTTGCGTACGACCCTTCCTTGGCCAAGAGCAGCGCCACGAGTGCTTCATCGTGCTCTGATGCCGACGATGCGATCGACGCCAGAAGCCGAGCAGCACCCGCACACTGCTGCAGCAACACACCGCGCGTACGGTACCCTGTGGCCCACTCATCGCGCAAGGCGAGGGACCGAAGCACGCGCTCGAGGTATGATTTGTAGCGACTGCCCGCGGTCTGAAAAACACCGTTGAGAAAGTACCTTGCGAACGTCGGTGGTTCCAAGAGACGTCCGAGCACCGAAAGCGCGGCAGCGTGCAGCGCGAACGATGCCTCTTGGCACACGGCAAAGACCGCTGTCAGCGCTGTATAGGATCCGGACGGGTGGCTCAGAAACGGCGCCAACATCGTATTGGGGTCTCCATCGCGTTGCAAGACGCTTTCCAGTAGCTCCAGTGCCTAGTACGTACACAAGAGATAGGTGACATAACCTTTCTCTTTGAGGAAACTACCTTGTGTAGCGCAGGCTCCTGCATCGCTTCCGCGGTCGCGACCATACTGACGAGTGCCTGGACCACGTTCAGGTCGCTCAAAACCTCGAGACGCAACTGGGCGTCGGCGGCAATCGCAACTTGGAGCGCCGACAGGACGTTCGAGGTCAGCGTCGGGCTCGCGACAACCGAGCTCTGTGTCAGTGTACGGACCAAGCCTACAACGACCGATGCGTCGTCATCGACACAAAAAATGTCTACCGTGTACGATCGGGCTCGTCAGGCAGTATGGCTGCCACGGTGACGCCGCCTCGAAACCTGCCGTGAGCGCCAACGAGAGCGTGACGGCGAGTGCTGTTGCGTCGCGAACGCACGCGTCGTGGAGCAAGTGGGGCAACACAGTCACGGTTTCGAGTAAAAGGTTGAGGAGGAGCGATGGTACGTTTGGGAGGTCGCAGGCGTCGAGTTGGCACAGAAGCAACAGCTCTAGTGGTCGCCGGAGACACTTGGTAATGCGGCTCTCAGTGGCCACGACGTCGTCGCTATCGAGGAGGACCGACGACCACGCAGCGGCTTTTCGGTGCCATATCTAACCAAGTTCGTCGATATAAAACGTGAGAGATCCTTGTGTACGTGCGCCGCGTCGCGCTGCTCAAGCCAGCGGATGAGACTTTTCGCCAGCTTGCCTTGGTGCAGCCCCGGTGGAAGTGGTGCCGCGCAGTTCTTGGCGGCCAGTGCCAGCATACCAATGGCCTACAGTCGAGAGCGACCTGAGTCAATATCAACTTATACACAAGGTGCACTTCTAGCTGCAGCGCTGGCCGCGCTGTCGCGAGCAGCAAGGTCACATCGATCGAATGAATGTGCTGCTTGACGCTTGCGGTGTGCCGCGCGAGGCGTCCAAGTGCTTGCATCGAGAGGCGTTGGAGTGTCTCATCGTCGGCATTGCCGGCAAGCTTCACGAGCCGCTCAATGAGCTCGCTTGGCACCGCACTTGAGAGGGTCGCATCGACGCGCGCCAAGAGAGAGAGGGACGCACACATGCTTTGACGCAGCAAAAGAGGCGCGTCACTCGCTGGAAAGGCGTCGAACCACGGCTTGAACTCGCTTCGGTGCTTGTGCACCAGGCAAACGGTGTAGCTCCGCAGCACCTACACATCGAGCCGTCGACCAGCGTCGTTGCATGCACCACCTACTTGGTGACGAAGCAGTGTCGACGGCGCATGAGGCACGCCAGGGCCGACCAGAGGCAAGATGCCCAGCGCTGCAAGCTTGGCGTTCCGCTGGACAGTCGCGGTTGCAGGACCTGCCGCCGCATCGATTGCATTGTAAAAAGCCATCGCTTGCTTGGTCACGTCGGCATCACAAGACGCTGTCCAGGTCGCTACAGACGCATCGAGCAATCGGTCGCGTAACTGATCGAGCAGTCCAAGCTTGCACAGGTCGTTGCAAACGTCCTTGTCAACCGCGAGGCAGGCGACGACCCCCGCCGCGCCGTGCACGACGGCCCACGACTCAAACGAAGCGAGTCCACTCCGCGGGCTCAGCGCTGCCACGAGGGCCACTAAAAGTGCAGACGACCACCGGAGGCTCTCACGACCTTGCTTTCGAAGCGCGAGTGCCCAGAGCATATGCAGCACTTGAACCTACGACGCCGATGAGATCCTGCCAGAATGGACAAGCAACAACCTGCGCAAGACTGGGCGTGGACGCACTCAGAAGGACCGCGACCTCGCCGCAAGGGATTTCAAACGCAAACGCCTCGGAGGCGCCGAGGCGCAAGAGTACGTTGGTTGTGATAAAGAGAGCCATGGGCAAAATGCGATCCCGGAGACGGCGTAATTGCATGTCGGCGTCTTTTGCCGGCGCATCATTGAGCTACACAAGCATGAGATAATGCAGTGGGATGTGTGTCTGCATACCATTTGCAGCAGGCGAAGGGTAAATCCCATTGTGCGCGTGAGCGTTGGCGCCAATTGGTGCTCGTAGCTCAAGACGACCAGCAAGTGCAAGGCACAGTCGACATACGTGACAATCGTGGCGCTTGCGAGCAGTGATTTCCGCTGGGCAAACAGTGACGTGTGTAAGAGCACGTCGAGCCACGGCCCTGTGGCATGTAACGTCGGCCATAGTGGCTGTGTGATAGTCCGCTGTAGCGAGTGCAGCACGAATGGTGCGTGCAGCACAAGGTAGCTCAGGCTATAGAGTGCCTGCGACCGCCAAGCCATGTCGTCGTGGGATGTTAACACGAGATAGACGTAGTCGACGTGCAGATCGGTCACGGCAGCGGTCGCCAGCGACGGGTAGAACCAGAGCTTGGTCAAGCATTGCAGCGCTTGTAGCCGCAGTTTGGGGCTCGCATCCAATGGCGTCGTACGCAGCGAGAGAGACCGAGTGTTGCACACGAGCAGGACGAGGGCGGCGAGAAGCGACGGCGACGTCTCACAGACCGGGCACGCGGCGTATCGAAGCAGCGCGGGAAGGAACCCGTGGGCCTTTCGGTGCCGATAGAGCCACCGCAGCGCGCACGTTTGAATACGGTTGGCGGCAAGGCTCTTGCGCGGGCCGTCGGGCGAGATCGAAGCGTTGGCCATCCGCGACGGTGCCGCCGTCGTACTAAAGCCAGCACCCACCGTCGCCAACACATGAGCCACAAAGCGGGCTGCCATGTCGATCACTATGCGACGCGTCGACGATTCCAGCGCTGCGCAGCGGCACCGCGCCGTGCTCTGGTGCTGAGCCAAAAGGATGGCGCTGAACCGCACCGCGTCAGGCGATTGTGCACCCGACGTTGCGATACCGGTGACGCGGTCAAGCCAAAAAATACGTTGTGGAGCTGCCAAGTCGTGCAGCAGCGGTGCGAGCGCCGCAAGGACCGATCGATGCCACGGTGCGACTTGAAGCAGCGTTGCGAGCGCGGCTACGATGACCCGCCCAGCATCTTGAAGAACGTCGGCCGCAACTTGGGCGCGGCAGAGAATACACTCAACGATAATCTGCAGGACGTTGGCTTGGTCGTGGCTGTCGGGCAAGGCGCTTTCGCCACGAAGCGCCAAGGCCGCGACAAACACTTCAATGACGCGTGCTCCGTGCAAGACAACGAGCGCACTTTTTGCCGCATGCATGCAGCGTGCCACGAGGCTCAAGGTCGCCACCGCGCTCTGCAGCACAAACTCGATACCGCCGGGCGTGACCAAGAGGCGAAGAAATCGACATTCCAGTGTCTCACGCGTCGCCGCCGCATCGGTAAGGCACAGTAGAATCGCCGCCGACAAGTGCGCCAGCAGGGGTCCTTTCTGCAACACAAGGTCACTTGCTACGGCAATCTCAAACGGCAATCTCGACGATGGGAGGCCAAGCACATGGTCGGGCAGCGTCCCAAAGTACTGCAAAAGCTTGGTTGGGGACCCGAGCTCGTGGTGAAGCAGTGCGCCGAGCACCGCTTTTTGTGCGAGCTCTGAGATGCGCACGGGCAGCCCTGGTGTCGCGGCCAGGTCCACGAGACGTTGAAGCATATCGCCGTCATGCTGGCGCCCATCAGCATCAATGACGTCGTTTGCGCGGGTAATGACCGCCGCCACATACGTGTCCTGTGCGTCTAGAAGCCGGTTGAGTGCTTTGAGGACCTTGACGGTCGCGTGGCCCGAGATGGCTTGAGTATGCATATAGTGCATCACCAGTGGGAACGACGATGGCCCAACGTCCGCGTCCTGCCTACACATTAACGCGAAATAAAACCCCATTTGAACAAGAAGATAGTACCATGCTAGCAAGCAGCGCTCCAGCGCGTCGTTGGCGGGACCTGTCGGCGTCACATCCACGCTACCGGACGTCGCTGGGACGCGCAAGACAGTCGCCGTTGTCTCCTTTGTCGCCAGAAGCTTGCACATGGGTAGGCCGCCGTGGTGCAATACCGACGCCAAGTCGGTCGTCGTTGCAAGATGCGAAACAAATGCTACGTCGGCGGGTGCTGTCAGCGGCGGTTTTCCGAGCGCGCCAAACACGCGTAAAAGCACCATGGCGACACGTCCATCGGGTGCGACGCCGGACCCGATACCGATGCGATCGACGCGCATGAGTTTAAACACATCCAGAAGACTCCACTGTTGCAGGCGTGATGGGACACTGGCGTGGAGCATGTTGACACCATACCCGACACAGGAGGCGAGGATGCCGCCCATCGCCGTCAAATCCAATCCATCGTCGGCGGCCGTCGACCAGAGGGGCAAAGCGAGCGTCAGAAGCTCGACCAGCGACTTGCTCGACAGCATGGCGTCGCCCGAGACACTGTAGACGACCGGAAGCGGGGCGGCCAAGTGCACCGACAGAGACATTTCGAACGCGGCGTCGCGCTCGGCCACGAAAAAGTACCTAGCGACAGCAAACGCCTCAGCCGGAGGAAGAGCCGAGCTATTGAAATCCAAATGTACCGTGAGTGAACGTCGTTGGGCTGGAGCAGCCGCCGAGGCATGTACCACCGAGCGACCGGTGGCCAGGCATCGGTGACCATCGCCGCGCAGAGAGCGTCGACTTCGGCACACCGACCTTCCTCCACCACGACGTTCTCGCGCACCAACGGCTCGAGGCGTTGCGAGACGACGTCGCGCAGTTCCATGATGTGGAGTGCGACACCCGTCGACTCTCGTCCAGTTACGGCGCGCGCAAAGCAGTGGTCGATCTTGATCGACGGGTGCCACGACCCGTCGGACGCTTCAAGGAGGAGAAGGATGAGCTTTCGCAGGTGCAGCGTGCCAAAGAGCGCTTCGTCGGTCGCCTCGGGAAGCTTCCATGCTGCGACGCGGACGCCAATCTCGTATCGGTGGCGCGCGGGTAGCGTTCGTGACCGGCAGTGGGCTTCGATCTTGTCGAGCGTCTTGCGGAACATGGCCATCGTATGAAGACCGAGCGCCACGACGTGGTTCCATGGGTCGACGACCGAGGTCGCGTCGAGCCACAGCACGTCGGACGGGTGCAGCACGAGCCGCAGGCATTCGAGCGCGCCAACCACCGCTGCCGGGTAGTCTACGTCAGCAATAAAGTAAAAACAAAAAAACGCTTTTCCGAGACATGGCGACGACATACGTGGCAGCTTGTCCTTGAAGCCAGGGTACGTCTCACGCTGCTTGTAATGACTGCGAATGACGCTAAACGTCTTCATGGTCTGGAATCGACACGACGACACGACGTCGTCACGCACTTCGCGCCACAGGCAAAAGCCGAGACCACGCCAAAGATACCGCTTGACGGCGGTGGCGGCCGTCGTCGACTGCGGCGCGGCCACCAAGTACAAGAGCATGACGCGCTGGAACGCTTCGCGCAACTCTAAGACACTTCTTCCCGCCTTGCTCAAGAGACTCCCCTCGGCCATGCCATAGGACAGTATCAGGTCGTCCCGCGCCATACAGGCCAGCACAGGCGTCGCGTCGTTAGCGGTGAAGAAGGCCAAGGCCGCAACGAGCGCACGGTCCAGCTCGAGCGCGATGGGTGCGACCGATATCGAGCTGCGCTCCATATCGAGTGGCGTCTCGTGGGTTCTGTCGTCGTCAGTAGCATGCGGATCAGGCAAGATACTGTTGTCGTCGTCGTGGTCGTCGACAAGCTCGCCGCGCAAGCTGCCGCCCAGAGGGGTCCCGTCGACCGAGAGAGCGCGGGTCGACCCCGCGGCACTGCGACTGGAGGCGTGTCGTGGCACTGCGAGAAGAGCTGACGGCGTCACGGCAGCAAGCGACGCGCGCTTCGCACTGTGCCGGGGCACTTCGCGTATGCTCGTGTGCTTGGATGGCACCAGCGCCGCCACGTCAGGTAGCTCGGATGTTGAAATTGTATCACTGACCTCGCCCTCGTCTTCGCTCGGTGTTGTGGTTGGGGGCGGGATCTCGACAGGACTTTTCTCGTCCGGTGGTTTTCGGCGGGGCGACTTTGGCTTCCGCAGCGCAATTGGTGCTTGGGATCCGAGAGCAGGCATCGGTCCAATACCGAGGTGGAGTTGGCCCTCGTCGTCCAGTGCCAAGACGACGCGCTCGATGATCTTTTGAACGATCGGCAGCTGCTGACGCCCGTCCGTGAGGAGGACGCTAATCATGTCGGCACTACTCTCGCAGACATCGGCCATGTCTGCGACATTCAATTCGAGCCGCACAGCGCCGTTGAGCGCGTGCAGGGCCGCCATCGGTCGGCCGGACGACGTCTCAACAATCTCGCGCAATACGATTTGTACGCCAACGCGGTCAATGTAGACGTCGATATCGGCGACGTAGAGGCCAATCTGGTGCGATGCCGTGAGCGTTGGCTTGAGTGCGCGCCGGGGCGACCGCGGCGGTGGCTTGAGTACCCGCGCGTACAGTACATAGAGGACAAAGCCGTGGTGAAGAAAGGCCGTGAGCGGCTCGCGTGCTTCGTCCGAGAGAGGCACGGGCTCGCATTCGTCGGGAGACCGGACAAAGGAAAAGCCCATGGGTCGAGATTTTTTCCACAGTGTCTTGGCGTCGACAACGAGGCGCAGGACAACGCGGACGTCGGCGAGCGTGGCGGACGCAACGACGTCGAGGACGATCGGGTCGTCGTCGGCGCTTCCATCGGCGTTGCGGACGTGGACGGAGCGCCACGCTAGCCGCTGGAACGCCGCAAGCTTCTGGAGGCTCTCCGTGTCCGTCGCCTGGAGTTCCTTTCGCGCCGCCATTTGCCACGCAATGGGTGTGGATACCAAAATGCGCGCGTTCGATTGGTCGCTGAAAGGACGCGATCATTTGAATTTCAGCCAATCACAAGGCGATCCGAGATCGCTGATATGCTCCATGCAGTGCACGGACGTAGCAGTAGACTGTGTCGTGCGTTGCAACGCCGGGACGAGCGGCAACGATCGCCTCGGGCAGCTCCGTTCAAATTTTCTCGCTTTGTGCCAGGGCGTTGAGGGCTGTGAGGTCGTCGCAGGTCTTGAGGCGCTTCTCGAAAGACGGGACGGTGACGAGATCGTCGTCGAGCAGCAGCATCGTCATCGGGTGCCGGGCCACGGTGCAGCGCCGGAGCGCCGGAGGTACTCACCCATTGCGCGGTTGGCCAGGATGTCGGGCGCGCTGCGAAGGATGTGACCAAAGATGTCCCACCGAGCTGGAAGCGGCATGGTCTGACAGGACTTGTGCAAGGCGTCGTTCGAGATGTGGTGCGGATATTGCACACCGATGAGTCGACGCAGTTGTTGCCGGTGCAAGCTTTCAAGTCGATCCACGTCAGCAACCAAGTGCCACAGTTGTAAAGCAACGTCGGAATATGTTATTCAAAACATGGACTTCCGTAGAGATGGTGTACAAGTAAGAATTCGAAAGTATAGTGTCATTACCCCTTCCTCTTGCAATGTAGCTTGGATGGTATCGTGTCGATCGCTGCAACAAACTCCGTGGTCGATGCTAGCTTGATGACCCTACTCTAGGGTGGTCAGTAGGAAGCGGCACCGCGCACTGTATGTGGCTACAAAAGCCATATCGAAACTGGCGTGGGAGTTGACGATCTTTCGATAACGCCATCGGTAAGACGTTTCGAGACCAGTTCTGTCGAACAAGACTCGGATCTTTCGTGTCGGATGGGGGCGTGGATGTCGTCGTCGGAGCGCCGGTCGGCGGCAACCTCCTCGGCCACAGCAACACAGCCAAAGTCGTTGGGGGTGCGGTCGTTCTCCGTCAAGTTTTCAAGCGCGCTAACGCGGTCACTCAAGTCCAAGTCGCATGCGTCCATGATTTACGCCGCAGACGACGAGGTCCAGCTCCGTGTCGAGACAGTGCTATTTGACGGCATCTTTGATCGCGGCCTCGCGTCGTCCGATGAGTACCATCACTACATGCCGCCCAACATGCCGGTCTTTCCCGTGTACGAGCCCTCGTACCACGAGACGTGCGCTCGTACGTGGAAGCTTCTGTGCAAGGGCAGTACCCTCAAGATGCAGCAGTACCACAAGGACGGCATCGTGCTCTTTTACGACGAGTTCTTTCACCGCCTCTTTCAGCGCGACCCGAGCTTCACCGAGATCTTTCCCGGCATCCGCAAGCGCATTGAAGTGCTCATCAAGGCCATCAAGTTTATGCTACCCGAGAGCCACAACACATCGTCCATCGATGTCATGCACCGGTGCCGCCACCTTGGACACCGACACAAGACGTTTCCCAAAATCCGGCCGCACCATTTTGCCATGTACACGAGCACGCTCGTCGAAGTCGCCATGTTCTGGCTCGACACGGAGGCGACGCCGGACGTTGGCGAAGCGTGGAGCAACCTCATTGGGTTTCATCTCAAGTTCATGCTCCAAGCCTACCTCTACGAAAACGTACTCGAGTCCGAGTGGAGCCAAAACGTCACGATCCCCACCGCCCGAACGGCTGCGCGCAAGTCGTTGCGTACTGTCATCACCGACGCGCGCACGAGCCACCGAACGTCACTACGAATGACACTACCCGAGCCCTTTATAGCACCGGCGGCACCCAAGGCCGCACCCGAGACAGCACCCGAGGCAGCACCTGCGATGTCGACGGAGGGGACACCGACGACGGCGCAGCTACGAGAGCGGCGAGCGTCGCGCACGCACGCATGGCTATAGCATTTTTCAGAGCTATTTATTTGGATTTGACCGATATACACGAGGTAGAGTGTAAAAGTATCGGTATCCAGGTTGGTGTAAAACACCTTGGTTTGACTCCTTTCTTCATACCAAGTAATTACTATCCGATAACGAAATCATGGATTGGGTTTGGTGGCTAGCAACAGCCTATCTCGTAAATCCAATGGAATTTGGAAATCCACAGCTCGTTTGAATGATTCAAAACCATTTAGATGATTGATAGATTATACAACGCGACGTTGATTTTAATACATGTGCTTGTGGGTGCGACGGATACTT